TTATATACATACCTAGTTGGTAACAACTTGTTGTTGTCTGTAAAGACAGCCTACCCACAAATAACAAAATGAATTCCAAAAAGTTGAATAATGGCACCTAAGTTCCTTACAATATTTTATAACTTTAAACATTTTTATAATTTTAATTAGTTTTATAATGGAATATGGAATTTTATTTAATTTGAGCTGTTATTATTATGATTTTTACAATTTTAAAAATATTAATTAGTAATCTATATTTAGTGTTGCCATTATTATATTTATAACCATAAAGAAAAAATAATAAAATATTAATTATTTCAGCCACATAATTGATATATGTGTAATTTGAAAAAGTTAAAATCAATTAAAAATTATAATTTTAATTGCATTTGCTATTATTTAAAAACAAATTATTAAGCAACTTAATACTACATACATTTACAAATGAAAATTTTATATTTTAAAATGAAATTTGATATTTAAAATGTCAAGTATTCGCGTAAATCTAAGAAAGTATTAAGTGGTAATCATGTTGGAAATGATTCGCACTTGAAAATATCAGAGGTGCGAGACCCGGGATTTGAACCTTCTTGACTCAGTTTTCCAAGCGAGCGCGTTACCACTGGGCTACCACTGCCTCTAAATATCCTTACTTCCTAATATTATAATTAACAAAACATCCAAGATTTATTGTTATTTTTTTATAGATATATCATATTCCAAATAACAGTCTAGACATTTTTGTAAAATAGTGGGTAGGCACTGTCTGTAACAAGTATGTGTTTGAGACGTCTATAACCTCAGCCTCTCCCGTGACTATGATTGCTGTAAAGCATTCGAAACGTCGGAAACCAAAAATCAAAATAAATATGCGAAATAATCCAAAAGGATAGTTTTATTTAAAAAGCCTAGAGATTGCCATAATTATGGTTTTTCATCCATATACTTCAAATAGCATTCGTAGAATTTAAGCGCATAGCGAAATGTCACTAAAACATGAAAATGAGTTCATTAACTTAATAAACAGTTTAGATTGCTTAGAAAAAGGCCTTTGAAAAGACATCGTATAATGAAGTGCTATCGCAGCATTAGCATACGTTTCAAATTAAAGTATCGCAGCGACCAGTGAACGCTGACCCTTCCATTTCATTTAGTCGATGTTTAGAATATACTATATGATACTGCATTAAGAACTTTTCTCCTTAACTTTACAAGTGTTCTAGAGGTCTTTTGGATATATATTCCTTTGAAGTTGATTTCTACTTGTGTCGGTCGAGGGCTCGGAAGACAAATTAGATCCGTTCCCATATTTTGTGGTTAAGTAAACAGAGAAATGCGAAACGGAATACGTAAAGTGAGTCAATTATACCTGAAAATTATTTGATAAACGTCCAGTTTCAAAGCCAGGTAATATTATTTTGACAAGGGTTACATTTTATGTTGAAATCTAGTATATAGTATTATACATACATATCTCGTTGTCTGTTTCAGTTCTTTACCAAATACACGAGAGAAAAAAGTATTGATTTGGTTCGTTTTTGGCTTTGTAAACCAATCTCAGAATAACTTGTTTTTGTTTTTTTTTCTTCAAATAGAGTGATCATTGCAAAAACAATATACCACCACCACCAACAGCACCACCCTTGAGGTATACATAACATATTCATTGAAAAAAGAATTATGAAAATCTGTTCTCATTGGTAAAGATATCTCGTAACATATTAACAAAAACATACAGCCAACATTGACTTCCGCTTTTTTGAAAAAAACAATTTTGTCAAAAATAACTAAATAGTTAACTTTAATCTTGCGATTTCGAACAAACCCTAAATTAAACTTCCACTTTCAATCAATCACCAAAGTTACAGGTCATAAATAAAGTCACCGTTCCCTTACAACGTCTAACAATGTCGCAACTTAGTTTAAGGGACATAAGCCAGAGAAATTCCCTTCAAGATTTTGTTTATGTTCGAAGCAAGAATATTAATCTTGTAGACTGGTGCAAGTGTTCCTGACATCATTTCTGTTTAACTTCACAATATCTGTTTAATATGATGTAAACCAACGACTCTATTGATCTGTGTAAAATATATCTAATTTAACCAATCTAGTATTTGACAAATGTCTGCGCAACCAAATAAAATTATAGTATAAAGACCCATATAATAAATAAATTTGTTGGGACATTATCACACAGCACCATCTAGTTCCATGGTATGAGGCTTGTGGTATGGGTACCAGATAGTTGATACACTACACATATATAACTTTCAATACATACACAGTGCTGGATTTACACTAAGGGCACTCGGGGCTAGTGCCCAGGGCGGCAAAATTCGGGGAGCGGAAAAATATTCTTCGCGTAGGTACTTATCGAAAATGATTTTTTTATTTTTCAAAAAATAAAAAAAAAGATTAACTAGTAGGTACATTTTTCGAAAAAATTGATTTCATTTCTAAATTATTTCTGGTTATGCAAAATTTCGATAATAGGGCGGCCTTTTTTACGATACCCAGGTTAAGGTTAAATTCGGCCCAGCATACACATTATAAATATAAACACTCATGACTGCAGTACAAACACTCGTGCTCATCACGACTCGAACCCGGGACCGCTGGCACAGCAAGTACACTACAAACTGAGCCAAACATATCTTTGAGTGTTATGTTTATGTTGTATGTTCTTATGTTGGTTCTGGGTCTGGGTATCTTTATTTTGACTAGTGTTCGCTTAGTGGTCAAACTTCGACTTTAATCATTATTGAAAATTTGAGGATAATATAAAAAAAAGAATTGATGTATCTGTATATAAGAAAAAGAATGTCAGTTGACAAAAAAAGGAGAAACCGTTTGGCCTTTGCCTATTTATGTATTTTTTTACATTTTATATTTATTTATATAAAAAGTCCGTAAAAGCAAAAAAAAATATTAATAGCTTATTCACATAGCTTAATACTTATTGTATAATGTAATAATAAATTATTATTATATACACATAATAAAGAAGTAGCACAAAAAATCATTAATATTTTGCGGCTTTCGCGTCTATCAATTGATAAGTTTGAGTCCTACGTTATGTCTAGATCTATTTCTTTGTAAACTTAAAAAAAAAATAAAAAAAAAACGTAAAACAAATAAAATAGCATGCGAGACGTAGGAAGTAGTTAGTATTTATTATAGATACGAGTATATAGATTGAAAAAGAATATATTTTATTAAAGTAATTAATGATTTTCGAAGCCTAAATAATCTGTCTAGACTCAAATTGTAAAGAATTATAATGGTTTATTCTAGAATATAGGCTTTTTAAGTAATTGCTATTTTCTAGTATTAAATCTTCTTATAGTCCAGGAGGAATCGGCGCATGAGTACCGAAAACTATTCCACCTCAATTTTTTTATGCGATCCTCTTCAAATTGCCCTACTGATGATATAAATGCATGTTGCCATGGGGCAACCCCGTGCCATATTGTTGAAACCGAAATTGTTTAAACAATTGCAGGGATTTGTTATTTTTTTATCGGACAATTTTTATTATATTCTTTATTGAAATACAAATCAAAAAGGTCCTATGACTTTTCGCGATAAGGTTAATATTTTTAGAGATATATATATATATATATATATATATATATATATATATATATATATATATATATATATTAGATATATATAAAATTAGCGGTATATTCTAACCATGATCCTGTCAAAGTTAAGCTAGGTCATAATATTAAACTTGTCTTTTAAGTCGTAATTGAACTCGCTTATTAAATTTATATTCGTAACTTATATTTAACGAAACCATGTTCTTAGATAATTTAGTAATTAAATTCTGTCTTACACATTCTAGTACAATGACATCCAATAAAATTACTCGCTTATATTATATGAGAAAAGTAATTTTCATGCGAACTAACTTAGTGATATTTATATGTATTTGATTTTATATTTAGTTATATTACTAGCAAATCACCGTCGCTCCGCTCGGGTTCGCCCCGATTTACGTTTTAAGGTTTAATAAAGATTTCTCAGAGATGAGATATTTTCACGCAGCAAAAAGTATCCTATATATTAACCCGGATAACCAGCTATCATCATATCAAATTCCATTAAAATCTGTCCAGTGGTTTTCTCGTGATGCCTTTCCAGACAGACAGACGGATATAAATTCTAAAAGATACAGATTCGGCCCCTGTATCGATAATAATGACTATTTCTATAAGATTTTCCACTAAATATTTAATGAATAGATTCGACGCACTTAAAAATTTAGTACCTGGGCGACCGAGCTTCGCTCGGAGTTTTGGGCCAAAGAAACATTTAAAAAAAAACAAACTAAAAATTTGAATAAATACAAAGAAACAACAGTAAAAGCTTTTTATCCGACCGGGATACGAACCCAGACACCTGTGGTTGTCAAACTTTCGCCTTTGTCGCTTGACCACGATGCTTATGTCCTAGCGTGCGAATTAGCGACCATATTTTGCATGGAATAATGCAAAACAAAACTGCATGAAAACTCGAAAACACGCGTTTTTCCAGACATAAAACTAATCTAGATGGGTTTATCGCCCCCGAAAATCTCTGTATACTAAATTTCATGAAAATCGTTGAAGCCATTTCCGAGATTCAGATTATATATATATATATATATATATATATATATATATATACACAAGAATTGCTCGTTTAAATATATTAGATTATAATATGTATAGATTAGTGCTTGTCATTTTAAAATTTTAATTTATTACTCGTATATTAATTATATAAATATGATTCAGTATTTCTGAGTAAATTAATAAAAAAATATTTTATTATAACCAAGTCAATAACTTGGTAATCTTGCAAAATATTTTCATCATTCATCATTGATTCATCTCAATCAGATAAGGGAAAATATAAAAAATAACATCCAGCATAAAAATATAAAAGATAACTTGTGATTAACATGTCCATTTTTTTTTCAGATCGCGAGGAAATGAGTCTTCGGGCGTGGCGATAAAGGTGAAAATCTAATGATGGCAGTGAACAGCCCTAGTGGGTATCCCCCCCTCTCCCCAAAGCCGCTCACTCCAAAAAGCCCTCGACATTTCATTTTCCCGCAAAAAAGCCCATCCATTACATCCAGTACATCTTCTTCAGGATATTATACCCCACAATCTGGCTGTAGCTATGATAAGCATGGCCCTCCAAAAAGCCCAATCGCGCATGGTCACCGGAGTCCAGCAAGTCCAAGACACTTTCACTTTCCTCAAGTAGCTGAATCACCATCCGAACGAGGCAGTCCTTGTAACTTTGATCGACCTCACCACGGCCTTCATTACACGACTTCTCTCAAACACAGCCGACGTGAAAAATCCAGGTCGCCGAAGCCACCACCAGTTCATATCCATACCAACCCTGGCTACGTATCTCCTAATAGGACGAGGAAATTATATAGCTCTACTTCCACAGTAAGTTCTCCCCGGCTGGTGACATCTCCGAGCATAATTTCAAGTCACACAGATGATTCTATTGACGCGATGCCTGGGACGCCGTCTGCGATTGTCAATGACGCTGATGATGAGGCGACGGAAACTTCTTCACGAATTTGCCGAAAGTCCACATCGGACTTGACTGATATGACAGATGATACTCCTCAAACGCGATCGACCAGTATTAGTAGACCATGCTCTCCGATGCGGAGAGGGTCGATGAAGGGAGGGCTTGCATACTTGGCCAGCAGGCGAGGATCACGGGAATCAACGGTGTCGAATTGTGACTCAGTCGAAGATATTGGACCACTAAATTTCCAAAATACAATGCGTGGTCGGCAAAGGCGAACATCTAACTTTTTGGAATTACCTGGTAAGTTTACCTGTTAAATGATAATTCCAATTTTCATTTCTGAAACTATATCCAAAAATATAGCATAGAAATGTTATTTCACTTCAGAAAATATATTTTTGATAAGGATTATATTTTAATAAGTACTCAAACATGCTTGAGCGCCATGAAATGAAATAATAATAAATCACAAAAGGTTCTGACGCTTTTCTAGTTTCAAATTAAATTATACATAGATTTCGTGTTATATTGAAGAGGTTTAGCTCAAACAACGGAGAAATATCTACATCTGCACTTCTACGCTATATCTACACTAATATTATAAAGAGGAAATTTTTGTATGTTTGTAACGAATAAACTCGAAAACTACTGGACTGATTTAGATGAGATAAGAAGATAGTTTGAGACCCTGGGAAGGACGATACGATATTCTTTATTCCGGAAATCAACTCTTAAGGGGGTGAAAATGGGAATGAAAGTTTGTATGGGGAATTAACCTAGGGACGAACCCGAGCGAAGGGAAGTTGAGTCGCTGGTAATATTATAAAGAGGAAAATTTTGTATTTTGGCATGTTTGTAACGAATAAACTCAAAAATGACTGGACCTATTTAGATGAAACTTGGTAAGAAGATAGTTTGAGACCCTGGGAAGGACATAGAATATTTTGTATTCTTGAAATTATCACTTAAGGTTGTATGAGGAATCAACCTAAGGACGAACCCGAGCGAGGGTGATTGAGTCACTAGTGCTATTAAAGAACCTTGCAATTTGGCTTATTGAGTAAAATAAATTAATAGCTTTATAGAATACACGCTTGTGGTTTTGACACAGAGAACATAAATAACAGGCCAATCCGATTCCCGCATTTCGTATTTTAGGGTTCGATGAAAGTTAAATGGTGGTTTCGAAGTTTTTTTAACCAGTTTTTATTATATGTAACAAACAAATTGTGTAATCAAATCTTAAAAATTGATTTTAACCTTCATCTTATAATTCTTGTATCGAAACTTTTTAAGTATGAAGTTTGGTTGATAATTTAATAATTTGATCTATCGACTAAATTTTATGACGGATCCAGGAGTTACATAGTGAAACTTTAGGTTCTAACTAAACCACCGAGTTTGAGCTAATTTGATTTAGTTTGAAGTTTCATAATATGTTACGTTTGTTCAATAGGTACTGTTTCTTTATCTTTTTCAAACTATTTTAACTAAATAAGCATAGTCACATACAAGATTCAATGTCGTGGCGTCGCTCTCTTGCTCAATATTTTTAAGTGGACATTTTAAAGCCTAGTGGTAACGCGCTCGCGTGGGAAACCGAGTAAAGTGGGTTCAGTTCTGGGTAACGCGTCTCTATTATATATGTGCGAATCATTTCCAATGTGATTAACACTTGTCTTGAAATCATTGTTTATTCATTGATTGAAATCGTCGTTAGGAAACTTGCATGCTAAGAGAATCTAGCAAATTTTAGCTCATAATTAATATAAATTTAATATTTATATTCACGAATAAATGGGAGTTTTGAGGATTAAAACTACTTTGACGTACGTGTCGTTTTATATACAGTTAACTTATTCGTACTCACGCTTCGATATGAGGAACTACAACTTGTTGAGTTACAGGTGTTAAATATGAGTTTAAGGATTTAACTCCATTATATTTAAAAGATTTAAAAAAATAAAAAAGGCAGTCATGATTACTACCGACAGAAGTGAAAACTTAAAACTATAAACAAACAGTTGTTATTTTAAATTTGTAAATTAAAACTGTTTACATTTATCTGGTTTTGACATCTATCGGCACTCTAAGTGTTAGGTCACGGGACCATGTCAATGACGACTTACATGAATTACTCCCCATTCAAACCTGCTATATAGAAGTTTTCACTTCAAAAAATGCCATAATTTCAATAAATTCAATAAGTGGCGATGTTAAAATAAGAACACATTCGCTTTACATAGACGTTGGCCCTTATAGTCACAAGCCTTTGGTTTATTATTATTAATTGATTAAATTTTGATACCAAAGTGACCAATTCTATTTACGTTTCCATCAGACTGGTTAGCGTCCTTCTTCGGGGATATCACATAATATATTATCCGTTTATTTAATTCAGAGGGCGAACTTGTAGTAATAATTCATAATGAATTAATATTTGTATATTTTAAAATATACATATATAAATTAAAAAATGTACACTTTAATGTTACCTAAATTATAAAAAACTATACGAAAAAAAAACTACATAATGTACACATGTAGTTTACCATTAAATATTAATCAAAACCTTGCATGCATTTTCTATCCCACACCCTTCTTTAGATTACTACCTTTTTTTATAAGAGCTCTTATTTCTCATACTATATTACCAATATGTGTACCAGCAAATGCGTTTAACCACACGAGAATGGATGTGGCACTTTATGGCTTCCCGAGCGAACTAAATCAGGTCATCGAGTTGAATACTCAAGTTACCTTTGGGTCGGTATTGTGATGTGTTCTTAGGAAATCTATACTAATATTATAAATGTGAAATTTTGTGAGTATGGATGTATGTTTGTTACTCTTTCACGCAAAAACTAATGAATGGATTTTGATGAAACCTTACAATTATATAGCTCATACATCAGAATAGCACATAAACTACTTTTTACTCCGGAAAAATATACTGTTCTCGTGTGATAGATTTGTTTTTGTTTTTCTAGAGGAGAACCTGAACAAAGCGAGGGTGAGACGCTAGTCATAAAATAAAGTCATATATTATGCCATTCCGAAAAATATTTTATTAACCGTCTCTAGTTCTATATATCTATAATATATATATTCTTTATTATATATTAACAATGTAATATAGATAATACAGATACTAAAGTGGGCAAAGGTGGACTTATCTTTAGAGGAGATTTCTTTCAGCCAACCTATTTTTTTTTTAACGTTGGGAAATGCATTTACGCACGAGGTGTGGAACTCACCGGCAAAACCAGTACTACCCACTAAAACCCCACAAAACCTTCCCCCGTCCTAATGGGGCGTCGCAGGATCGCTTACGCATTCAACTACGACGCCCCGACGGCAGGTCTGCCGAAGCAGACCACAACAACCACGGGGTTGCTCCACAGTCCACTCTGCTATCAGAGAAGTACCAGGAGCAACCCGCATGGTACACTGCCCTCCGAAGAGGGCCACCTCCTACCGCCCACCGAAGTGGGCCTCCTCCCTGTGCGTTTCTTGGCTTCGCGCCCGGTTGGGTTGCCGGGCACTACTGAGCCCCCCCACCACGGCCCACCTATGGGAGTTAGAAATAGTGTTATATAACGAAAAATTAGAGTAACTAAGGCTAACAAAGTGGGAAAATCAATTAAAAAATCATTAATAAGAAATGAATTTCTTAGAAATTTACCTGGGGGTGTTAATTATTTAATTTATTAGAGTTTTTAATCCTTAAAAACAAAAAAAAAATGTATGAGGATTGAGGATATATAGGAATACTCATGTCTATTTGTGACTTTTGCGGAGAAATTTACTTTATGTTCTCTTTTATAATTCGGGGAAAATAGGATGTGCCAAAAGGATGTTTGATATGAATGAATAATGTAATGGAAAAAAATTAGGTAACCAAGTGACAAATGTATAGCGTAAACAAATTAATTCTAATTTTGAGGATTAAAAAAAGAGAAAGAGAAAGAAGGAAATAACAAAGAGCTATGTTATATGCTACTTTCATTTGAATATAAATACGTATACAATTTCTTATATAATATAGTTAAAAGATATTAAATAAAATGTTGGAAAACTGGTCTTATTTAACCTCGAAAACTAATGAGACTAGAATTATGAAACAAAATATGAAAATATGGAATATAGAGCAGAATAATGCTTTACGGTAAAAATATAATGAAAGCCATAACGTATAGAACTCTAGTTCACGTAAGTCGTTTTATTTGATGGATAACTTGACTTGCCCGGGCTAATCTTCGAAATAGGGGAATTTATTTTAAAACACAAGATGTCAGAGGTCCAACGTTTTTTTTCATATGTGGAGGTGAGACAACTCCTACCACCTCCCACCCTTCTTCCTATGTCCAATAAGCAAGCTTTGACGAATTTTACTTAAATTAACCCACAATAATTGATTTATCAATTTTTATTAGGTTTTTTTTTTGTATTCCAAGGCAATAGTAGCCCAGTGGTTTATGTCCTGACTCCTAATGTTGAAGGGAGTGCCCGTGCCCAGCAGTGGGACGTTTAAAATATCGTATCACAAAAGATGTGGTATAAAATACAAGACATCGATAAGGTCGAAAATCGTTCAGGTTCAATTTTTAATAGAGTTCCGTAGCCAAAAGCCAAAACGGAATTTCTCTAATTTCCTCATGTCCCTATGTCACAGCTATTTAGCTCGAAGCCTCTTTAAGTTACATTACTGAAGTAAAAATTAGAAATTAATATAAAATTATTTTGCAATGTTTGTAAAATTTTATAAAACAAATATCTGGACCATTTTATAAAGAACTTAATTTTAAAAATATACCGTAAATTAAAGTTTAAAATTAGATACAATAAAAGAAAATGAGAACCTTTGAAATTATCTTTGAAGTTTAAGATTGGTTCATTGAACTTTTGAATACATTATTTTGTTGATCTGTTTTTAACTCTCGACGCGAAAAGAGAGGTGTTATAAGTTTGATGCTGATGTTTGTCCGTCAGTGTGTGTGTGTGTGTGTGCCTGTCTGTCTGTCGCATCGTAGCTCTCAAACGGATGGACCGATTTCGATGCGGTTTTTTTCATTTTAAAGCCAGTTTCCTTGCGTTGGTTCGTAGCTATGTTTGGTTAATCTCGGTCCAGCAGTGTAAGAGTATCAGCCCTTTTCCAAAATGATGTAAGGCATTTTGGCGTATGATTACTAGAATATAGAATAAGACGCCTTTAATTAAATACTAGCGACTCACCCTCGCTTCGCTCGGGTTTCCCATACAAACTTTCACCCCCATTTTCAACCTCTTAAGAGATGATTTCCGGGATAAAAAGTATTCTATGTCCTTCCCAGGGTCTCAAACTATCTTCTTACCAAATTTCATCTAAATTGGTTTAGTAGATCCAGAGATAGCCCCCTACAACGTCACAAACTCACAATTCACAAACTTACAAACTCATAAACTTTACCTCTTTATAATATTAGTATAGATAGTTTGACGTATTATATATGAAAAAAACCATCTTATAGAAATATAACTCAATAGGTTAATTAGGTCGCGGTTCCATACCTACGTGTATGTCGTATTATCTCTTTAACCATTTATCCAAATTATATGCAGTAAAAGGGAAAAGTCTTTCCTTTTAAACATTTTAGACGATAAATTTACTTATTTTGATAAGAATTCATAATTGTTGATAATATGACCTTAAAACATGACCTACTGATTTAAATTATTTTTTAATATAAAATACTACTTTTTGTGACTTAAATATTATAAAAGTTAGACATATGCTGTCGCTGACTTTTTTGCAGGCATTATTAAGCTCTACAACTTTTCTCTAGAACATAATTATATATCTCTCATCGTTAAGGCAGCGTTCGTAAGAAACGTTTTCGTTCGACCGTTTTTTCTCTGACTTACTTTGCAAATTCGACTACCATGAAAAAGTCTTTTCATACTTCGGATTAATATATAAGCCTACGAGACTCAGAAATAACGTGGCTTTCTATTGGTAAAAGAATTTTCAAAACCGGTTCAGTAGATCCAGAGATTACCCTCTACAACGTCACAAACTCAAACTCACAATTCAGAAACTTTACCTCTTTGTAATATTAGTTAGTATAGATAAGTATATTTTCACCGGCTGATCTTGGATTTTAGTCCTGGGTCGGGATATGTATTGGTTTCTATGTCAAGAAATTCTCAGTAACTTCGCGGAGTCATCTTATATATCGAATATGCATTCGAAAAAACCAACCACATTATTTAGATCAATAAAATATAAAATGTTGAATGTTTTTTTGTTAAATCTCTATTTTATTTGCACTAAAGCGTATCTTTTAGTTCAAACTACTCACAATTTTATAAAAGTCCGTTAAATTCATTTCACCTTTGAAAAGTTTTGACCAGTTGGAAGTTGTTATTCAGTTGTTCGATCATAAGGATTAAATTGGTACAAGCTTAGGATTGTTCTCTACTAGTGAGAAGTCGCGATATAATGCTATAAATATAAAACAGTTATAGCTTTTTAGAATCATACTTATATTTACTAATTGAAAATCTATTTAGGTAGATATTCTAAATTTAAAGTAACTAACAAAATCTGTAAAATAAAATCTATTTTAGTGGGCATGAGTCTTTCTGTTACTTTCAAATGATGCATATTAAACTCATATAGCTAAAATGATTTGAATACTGAAACTTTTCCTGGCTAGTGGAAGATTTTGACGATAGTGACACATCCGCTGCTTTTTAACCCCATAAAAGGAAAACGTATCTGATAAGAAATAAAACTTTTATGAGCTTCCTTTAGAGACTATAGGGTATAGTGATAACAAAAGCAAGTGCTGGTCGTTGATGTACAATAAGTATTTGGTTAGAAATCAAACGATAATATTAGTCCGAATAATTCAGTTGTTAGCTGTTAAATAATATTTGTTTACGACATAAAAGTAAACGATAATTGGTATAGTGCTTATATCCTTACGATCTCTACATAAAATATCTCTCTTGAAATCACAAAGACAAGCATATTAGTGACAGAACCAGTCTCCTTAGAGGGTTAGACCAATTAAATAGAAAACTAGAATGGGAAATTCTAAGAACACAATTGACATAACGCTTATGTGTCCTTTTTATATATTGGTTATTTTTCTATTAGCGATAGTTTTTGTAGAAAGTCAGTTTTATTAAGGCAAGCGAAGTTAGCGGTTTATATCCACTGTTTCCATTTCACCTCATCTTCACGATACTATAAAAGTATATGTCCGTTGGATAATTAACGACAGTATAATTTAAATGTATAGTTTCAGTAAAGCGTTTTTATGTATCTTTATTTATTGGGCTTAAAGACGTAGAATAGATATCGACGTGGTGTATATATTTCTATTGAGATATGGAGGTTTAAATCTAAACGAACTAATTTTGAGGTATTATGTAAGGGGTATACATACATATTTTTATTCATTTATGTACTTTTACTTATACTTCGTATATTTGCAGTGGTAGAACATTCAAGACCGAGGGTGTGCTCTTTGCCGGAGAAACCTTACAACCCCCGACTCTCTGACGATCTGTACAGGCTAAGAACATTCTCGATTACCACAAAAGGAGGGGTAGTGAATTGTGGCGACTCGATTTGCAATCGTCGCAGTCGATCCAATACATCTGTTAATTCTACGAATAGCAGGTAATTGGTGAATGTAATACGAGTTGCCTTAATTTCAGTTTTATTTGCCATAAGATATTTAGGATGTAAAAATCTGCACTTATACACTTTAGCCAATGATACAAATAAAAAAAAACTTATAGAACAACAGCTATACCTATGCGAAAGTTTGTATGTGTGTGATGTGTGTTTGTAATTTCATCTCGCTAGCATGACTGGACGGATTTGAAGGAAATAAGCTTTTTATATTACTTACCTGGGCGATCGATCTTCGCTAAGAGTTCTATATGTACATCTTATTTTTTAGATAAAAATGAAACTAAAAACTTGAATAAATAGAAAAAAAAACAATTAAAAACTTTGTATCCGACCGGGATTCGAACCCGGACACCTGTGATTGTCAATTTTGCGCCTTGACCGCTTAACTACGATATTTATGCCTGAGCGAGCGAAATTACCGAATATATTTTGCGTGGAATAATATGAAAGAAAACTGCATGAAAACTCGAAAACATGCGTTTTCCCAGACATAAGACTAATCTAGATCGATTTTTCGCCCCCACATGCCAAATTTCAGCAAAATCGTTAGAGCCGTTTCCGAGATCGCCGGTATATATAAATAAATTTCAAGAATTGCTCGTTTAAAGTTATTAGATACAACTTATTTGTGAGTACATAATAATCCATATATATAATAAAATGATAACTAAACCGAATCTGTACATTAGATATTTTTTTGGAAAATATTATTGAATGTACATTATTATAGATACAGAGGCCGAATCTACAGTTTTTTGAATTTTTGTCTGTCTGTCTGTCTGTCTGTCTGTCTGACTGTCTGTCTGTCTGTCTGTCTGTTACCGTATCACAGAAAAACCACTGAAGGGATTTTGATGAAATTTGGTATGGTGGTAGCTGGTTATCCGGGTCAACATATAGGATACTTTTTATTGCGGGAAAATGTCTCATTTCTAAGAAAAAATACAAAAACTGCAATGTAAGAGTATACTAATATGTAAAACCTAAGAATTTGGTTTTTGGTCATCTGAACGCGGGCGGAGCCGCGAGCAATGCTAGTATTATTATAATGAACAAAATCATAGCAAAGTTAAAGCTATCAAGTCCAACTCTTGATCAGATTAGTGGCTAACTGATTACAGAATTGCGTGACCAGCGGAACTATGTTCCCTCGTGCTATTGTCATATCGTTGAGTAATGGCTTACAACCTGGTTAGGACGTTTAGAATATCTTTATTCAAGTGTTAGTAGTGATCCAATACTAGTATTTTTTGCAACTAATTCTAAAATAAAAGTTTAAAGTGACTTACATTTTCCATCTCTAAAAAATATTTCCGTATAAAAATCAAGTTGATTGTAAGTTGATGATACCATTTTGTTCATTTTCATTCATTTTGTTCATTTTTTTAATTGTGGGTAGCTGTCTGTAACAACTATACCTTCAAGACATGTAACACCTCAGTCTCTCCCGTGACCATGGATGCTGTAAAGCATTCGAAACGTCTGGAACCAAAAATCAAAATAAATCCGCGAAATAATCCGAAAAGATGGTTTTATTTTATTTAAAAATACCTTTAAGATGTCTAAAACCTTAGTTTTTTCCGTGACCATGATTGCTGTAAAGCATTCAAGAGTTTCTTGGTGATGGAAATATGGAATTAAGATATATTGACTCTTATGCGGGATACCTATAATATTATCTATAATATTATTAATATTATTAAAATATTATTAATATTATTAAAATTATTATTGTAAATTCGATATTTCAAAGAGCAACTGTTGAGTTTCTCGCCGGTTCTTCTCAGCAGAACTGCTTTCCGAGCGAGGTAGCTTTCTCACAGACTGACTACACTGCTCTTTAAATTAAATTGACGATTCAAAAGTGCTTATAATAAGTCTATTTAAATAAAGTTTCATTTCATTCGAAAGGACTTAGAGTACTACTAACTAATATTATAAGAAGTAACTTTAGCTACTTTTATTTTATAAAAACAATAAGTAAGAAAAATATAAAAAAATAAAATGTATGTAGGGACGAACTCGAGTGAAGAGAGGATAAGTAGCAAGTCATTAATTAAAATTAAAATAATTGTTGTATTTTTGGTGAATAAAATATGGATTAAGTCAATATATTAAGAGTAAATAAATGTTAATATATTTTTTTCACAGAGCTTCTGATAGATCTCCATTTGACGGGTCGTGTTGCTCTGGATACCGGCCAGTTGACTCTGCCAGCCTTGACACGCCTGATGAAGATGACTTAGATCCGGTAAGCATTTTTTTTATTAAATAGTTCATACAAGTAAAATACAAACAGAATTGAAATTTAAAGTACAATCATAAACTCAATCGAGTTTTACCGTGCACCAGCGTTGACGAAAATAGACAAAAAATATTATAATTATCTAAACATATCTAAACTTTTTGAGCTTTTTTTGTAACTTACCCCAATTTTTGTATAATTTAGGAATTGGTTATCCCTCACACACACAAGATACAAGAAAAAGTTGCAATATAATAAATTCCTACAGAAAAACTATCTAGGCAAAGATAAAACAGTTCAGTACCTTTTTCATCTCTGTTTGTCAACCGATTTTCTTTTTTTTTATTTGCTTAGCTATTGACGAGCTTTAGTGTTATCAATAAAAAAACAATAAAAAAAGGCTCTACAAGATAATAAAATCAATACATAAAATATGTATATATATTTTGAGTATATATATTAAAAATTGAAATGTGAATATGTCTATAAATAAAAATCTACATATACAGGGTGGAACAAATCGATGGGACATGGAAGAAAAGTACCTTAAATATTGAAGTTATCAGGATTTACTCAAAGGAAATATTTCTTTATTTTTAAAAATAATAACAACTGCATTCAATTTAAAAAAAAAGCTTACCTGAACCGGGAATCGAACCTAATAAAAATGCAAAAAAGTCACCATCACTATTTTATCGAATTAATCGATAAGTCTATACTCTATAGGAAGGATAAAATCTCTCGAACAAACATTGCATCTCAAAATTGAAGAAAACTATGAAATCCTCAAATTCTACATAATATCGACTCTTACATCGTGGAACAAACGCACAAGACATTGATAAACCCTATCGATCTTTTTACCAAATGCATATGAACATACATATATACAGTACTTATAATAATACAAAAAAATACATATTCTATCTGTTTGTTCTGGCTTATCTTCGAAACGGCAGAAGCGATTTTGATGGGACTTTCACTGGCAGATAACTGACGTTATAAGAGTAACTTCGATTACTTTTATTTTAAAATAAGAATTAGGGTTCCGCGCAAAAAATTAAATCTTATGAAATTGTGAACAAAATCATACTTACATAGGTGTTCGCATCTGAGTGACGCAAGGATTAGTCGCTAGTCTATACATAGGTATAATAAAACTGTAGAGGTCGAATAGAAAAAAAATGCTAAAAACCGAGTCAGGGGGATGTAAGAAGAGAAATAGAAGAAATGCATTTTTTTTTCATTTTTTTGTTTCTCTGTCTGTCTGTTTGTACTGGCTAATCCCCGAAACTTTTGGACCGATTTAAGTGTTTTTTTTTTCATGGTGGTACCTTATATCCCCGGTCAATATTTTAGATACTTTTCATCCCGAAAAATTAAAGGGGTCCGTGGGATAGTAAAAAAACCATAGTAACTTATACAGCTTAGTACACAAAAACTTTAATAAATAGGCTACTTTTATCCCGAAAAAATATACGGTTCCTGTGGGGTAGATTTGTTTTTGTTTATCTACACCCCGAGCGAAGCGAGGTTGTACCGCTAGTTCTTAATAAATTTGTCAGTTGAATTTCCAGCCTATAAAGTTAACTTTCCCGTCATAAAAAAATCTAATAAATTCTATTGATCGCACACCACTTGTCTTTATTGTCTTTGAAGTTGTTTTAAAAAATTTCCTTACAAAACTCATGTAAAATACGATGCTGTAGGCCTATAGCCTACTTTGAGTTTTACAGATAAAGTTACGTTATTAATATTTTCGCTGGACGTATTATCATCGTTTGGCGCTTTTAATGTATATTTAATAACTAAAGCAAGCTAACAATCTATACAGATAAATAAAATTGAAGTGTCTGTTTGTAATGTCAAAATAAAAACTTTTTACTAAATTCATATGAAAGTAATACTTTCATATGAATTTAGTAAAAAGTATATTAAAATATATAAATATTTAAAATTTCATATGAAAGTATAAACAATACATTAAAAAAAACTCAATTTTTAAAATGTTTGTATGTTGGTCTTTCCGGGTGATCTCCAAAACGGTTGGAACGATTTTGACGGGACTTTCACTGTCAGATAGCTAATGTTATAAGTTCTTCTGAATTAAATCAAAAAATTCTCAATCTCTACCGTGTCTTCTCCATTCTACACGATATTTGCGAAGTAAATTGTGCCGAAATGATGTTGGAAACATTGGTGTAACTTAGGCTACTTTTATTTTAGAAAAAGAATTAGGGTTCCGCTAAAAAAAAACTAAGACGTACAGGACGAACTCGAGCGAAGCGAGTGAGTCGCTAGTTTAAATATAAAAAAGTTGTATATTTTTTATAATTTATAAACATTGTGCTCATCCGGGTATCGAACTTATGCTATATGAATGCATAGGCACTCCACACTAGGCAGTGCAAACTAGGCGAGTTTATCGCTGCAGGGATTTCTTTCAGCAAACCAAAAAGAGATATAATAAAAAATAAATACAAAATTGCTAATACAATGTATAAGAAAATACTTTTGTTTCCTTTTTACTTTTCTTCATATAGTCATTAGTCACATTTCCATGCCATATTTGGTTCATATAATTAATGCCTCATCGTACTTGTTTATCGAACCTACAACCTTCGTCATAATATTACATTCTTTCATATCACATTGTTCATTTAATAATAAAATATAATAAACTCTTGTACAGATACCAAAATATCGAGTAGTACTTCTCGGCGATGCAGGAGTCGGGAAGACAGCACTCGTGTCTCAGTTCATGACGTCGGAATATATGAATACATACGACGCGAGTCTCGGTAAGTGGTTTAGTGGGAAAATATATATGTATTATGTATATATTTAAATACATATTTTTATATTGAATTTTACGATCAGACATGGTTATATACTGTTTTAGTTGTTAACAAATTGTCTTTTATGTTATAGGTATATAGATTAATATAAGCTTTAATAACACTTAAAGTAAACGCTTCTCGTACGGTATTATAATTTAACTTAAAATAACGTACATAATTCTATATTATCATACCTCTACAGATTTCAAACATGATACATAGTAAAATCAATAAACAAAACACAATATGAGCACTTCAATAAACATAAAACATAACTGAAAATGTATAATTAACATTATAATATTTATTGTGCACAGCTTTTAGAACACGTGAATATGTTGTAAATTAAATATTAACTATATTGAGCATGTCGCACGATTTCTCTTGCTATAAGCTTTACATGTTTTGTTTATTAAGTAAATAACTGCGAGTGTACGAGATAGGTATGTTATTTTAATAAATCTGGATCTATTCTACCACAATTTTTTGTCAAGGAGGTGAACTTATATAACGATATCGACCTTTTAGCTTTGTAAGCTCGAATATAATGGAAAACTTCGTTTTCAGCGTAAAATTTATCGTTTTCAGAGAAAAAACTATTACAACTTGCTTTTTAATATACTCGTACTTGTAATTTGTTCAAAGTTGTTTTCTAAAATTGTCATTATTATTTTAAATTATATTATAACCACAATAATGATATGTTTCCTAGGTTATTAGGGTTCCGTAGTGAATAAGGAACCCTTATAGTTTCGCCACATCCGTCCGTCCGTCTGTCTGCAGCTTAATTGAGAAACTCCTAGTACTAGAAAGCCGTAATATAACACAGATATACATATTAGTCACGCCGTCAAAGTGGTAAAATAAAATTGCGCATGGCCCGACACGCACTTAGTTAATTAGATTTTATAAGGTGGTCTCATTATTTGTATTTGGTAGACCTGTATATTAAAATACATATTTTTCGTACGGTTTTGTTTAGAAAATAGGGTAATAAATAAAGAAAAAAACGTGTGTGTGTATTTATATACGCACGTAAGAAGTTATACTTCCTTGGCGTAACAAAACAAAAATTGCTAAAGATTTCATCCCGTATGTTACAACTCTCTGTTTGTAAAAGGAATGCAGCTAACGTCATCATGTCGATTTTTGGCTGTCGGCGTGCGTGTCCATCGTAAAAATTTCTCATAATTTTTTCCAAACGTGCCAAAAGAAGTATAACTTCAAAAGTATTAAATATATACGATTCTTTCTCCCCTCGTCCTAAGTAAACACGGGCCTTTCAGATGTTTTTTAATATAAGTACTAGTAATAGTGCTAATATTGTATAAATCTTTTGATATATACATACATATAAAACATACTTTATATGTATCAGGTTGCAATTATTTTATTTTTTTATTATTACCTAAAGTATATAAATGGTAAACTGTAAAGCCCAATTTTATCTCTATTTAGTACTTCTAGTGATGAAGCAATTATTTAAAAAAAATCTTTTAAATAAGGCTTTTGAACAACAAATACACTATGAAAACTAAAATTACTCAATAAACACTATTTAAAGATAAAAAAAAACTGTATCATACCCCTCGCATTGAAGGGAGGCCCGCGCCCAGCAGTGGGACGTTAAAAAGGACTAAAACATATACAATTATATTTATATGGCGAAAGTCACTCTTTATGTCTGATAGTAATTTTCCATGGTCAATACCTACAGAGAGTGTAGAGAAAAATAAATCGATAAGAGAATGAAAAATGTATTTCATTTCAATATTTATTGTGATATGTTGCTAAGTAAAATTACTTTTCGATTCTAGGACTATAAATTAAAAATTTCATTATTTATGCTAGAAGTATGTTATAGGGTCACATAAGTCTTAAAGCATTTGTATCAAATAGAACTAGAGAACTTAGGGTAAGACTAATCAATATATATAATTGATAACAGACAAACAAACATTCAAGTTATGTTATAAAGGATCCGGTTTTTAATTTTTCAGCTATTAAACCCCAAAAAAGCGACAAATCGGTGTAATAAAATATCTAAACAATCTTTAAGCGGAGTTGACTGAATATTAGTAAAATTAATTAACTGAACATCACTGCTCGTGAAACTCAAGAATTTGCATCAATTTCAAACATTAAATATTTTCAACGAAGTATTTCTCGGCTAAATGCTAATAAACTTAAAATAAATATAAATAAGTAAAACAAAACAGTGGTGTTATAAGTTTGACGTGTCTGTCTGTGGCATTGTAGCTCCTAAACGAATAGACCGATTTTGATGCGGTTTTTTTTGTTTGAAAACTGATGTGATAGAGATGGTTCTTAGATATAATTTAGGAAGACCTGTTCAGGTGTTTAATGATCATCAGCTCATTTCCTACTTGACAAAAGGGTCTTTCTAACTTTCACAGATCCGACTCATTTGAAATGTGGTGTACTGTTACTTCGGTGGTATTTCCAAGACATGGTAACCTTGAGCTGATGCTGTAGCATCAAATAGTCTGCGGGGTGCTCAATTCCCCAGAAACTTATAGCAGATATAGCGTGTTTGGACACAAGAATAATCTCAACGAGAGTTATCTATTAGAATTAGTGTCCGCGAGTAATTTAAAAACAATGAAATAATATTAAAATTAAAAATTTTAAGTAACCCTCGACACAAAAGATTTCTAAAAAAAAAATCTCTCTTGGGCTTTTAACTAAATTAAAAGTACCTATTAATATTTTGATGATGAGCGTCACCACGTCGGGGAACCCTAAGTAAATAAAATAAAAAACCAGAATACAAATAAAAAGAATAGTGATAAAGTATTCATGGTAAGTTTTGACGCTTAGCATGGAATATTTTTTTTTCGTGTTTTTTTCGAAGTTTTAGTCGTTATTCTGCTATTTGGGGTGAAGACAAAACCAACAAACCAAAGATTTTTACCGGTGGTAGAACTCTATCAAGCCTGACGAGTCCGACTGGATGGGTAGCACCCCCTTTTCTATTTCTGCCGCGAAGCAACAATGATTACATTGTTGTGTTCCGGTTTGAACGATAAGGTAGCCAGCGCAATTACAGGCAAGAGGCATATCATCTTAGTCCTCACATCACAGTGACAACGCACCTGCGGTTCTGCAGTTTTGTAACATAAAACCTAAGTGCATGCACCGTAGGTGTTATGGGCGACAGGTAACGCTTTCCATCAGATGGGCTGTCTGCTCGTTTGTCACTGAATACCATAAAAAAAAAGATTATAACAAACCAGACCAGCAGTTCTCGAGTTTTTAGTGTTTTAACAAACCCGACTTTGTTTTATATATGTATATGTGCTAAATATTAGCATGAAACTTTTAATATTGGTAACACTATATTTGAAATTACTTTACTTACCTGTAATATGACGTGAATATTATTTTATAATATCCAGACAAAGTTTAAGCAAATTTTAAGATAAAACTCCACTAAGTGACACGAATGTTATTTAAAAAGCGGCCCTCAGGGAATTGCCTGTACAGCAACTGTGAGTACTGATCCCCATTATTATATTATTTTCAGAGCTTTCTAAGAACACAGTGGAAAAACTCACGTACTTATACTTTTTAATGGAATGAAAAAAAAAATTATTGTTTTATATTATAATTTTTATCTATGCTTTGCCTTGCTTATTCTATCTTTAATATTTCTATAATTATTATAAAAGGAGACGTATGTGAGAATTTTAAGAATGGAATGAAAAAAAATAAATAAAAGAAAAAAATAAAAACCGACTTCAAACGAAAGCACTAAAAAGTAAAAAATAACTGATTGGTAATTTTCATTTACTATACATACCTAATCAAATATTTTCGAAGTCGGCGTACTTTGCTTTGTATGGGCTGGCACCGATTTCGAAAATATTTGATTAGGTAGGTATGTATAGTAAATGAAAACTAGCAATCAGTTATTTTTTACTTTTTAGTGCTTTTGTTTGAAGTTGGTGTTTATTTTTTTGTTAAAAAGTTTTTATTTTTCCCTTTTTAGTGTAGACAGTAGTAGCAAAGTAAGAATTCTAACGTGTTAGGCTTGTCAAATCAAGCAAAATAAGCCCAAACTCAAAGTATCTACTATTAGCCGTTGAAGAGTTCCACCTATCCTCCTTCTGGCCTTACCATCAGATCAGGTCAACAATACCGAACCACTGTACTATCAACGGATAAAGAAACACTTGCAAAGTTTCAAGTCAATATGACAATTAGAAGTAGGTTAAATTCATCATTAGCTATTTTTCCACCCTTAGGGGTGGTATTTTTTTTTAAATTTAAATGGGACCAATCTGGAAGTATACACTTTCAAACAAAACAAAAATTGTCAAAATCGGTTTATAAATGACGGAGTTCCGAGGTAACAAACATAAAAAAAATACAGTCGAATTGAGAACCTCCTCATTTTTGAAGTCGGTTGAAAAGAAGTATGTTGTCCGATAATGGCGACACGACGATACGCGTGAGCATTGTGTTTTGTAATATAAATACTATAAATAGTTATTAGTGTGTTATAAACGCTTTTATTAACCGACTTCCAACAAGGAGGAGGTACTCAATTCGACGGAATCTTTGTTTTTTTTAAATGTAAGTTCACCGATTACTCGTAGACGCCTGAACCGATTTCGAAATTTTGTTTTGTTTCGAAGGGTATATATACTTCCCAGGTGGACCCAATTAAATTTTATCGAAATAGGTCGAGCGGTTTTGAAAAAAATCAACAAATAAATTATTTTGTTAAATAAATTGCTTAATCGAATATGTTATTAAAAACTTTCTTTTTACAAATTACCTGCTTATTACGTCTACACTAAAAATGGAAAAAAATACCGACTTCCAGGCACTAAAATGTAAAAAATAATTAAACGGGGGGTTTTTATTAGAATTTTTTTTTATTTAGAATAGATATCTAATCAGATATTTTCGAAGTCGGTGCTAGCCGATGCAAA